AAGTTTAAAATTTTCTATTCAGCAACAGGCTCACTGAGCATGTGCAAGAAAACCTGAGTACGTGCCTGGAACTAAGTAAAGAATGTCCACATGTAGAGAACAAAAGAATACCCATATATGGTAAGATAGGAGGTAAGATAGAATAATTGTGTCGTCTGATAGGTTTGTGACCTGCCACGTCAGGAATAGCTGACGTAGGTATAGGAGGAGATAGGGAGGGGTATAACTGCTGTTACGCTTCTGTAGGAGGTGTGGCTTTTCCCTGCAACTCTTGTGAGTGCATGGTTAAAGTTTCACCACGCTTTGCAAACCGTTTTCTTTTACTAAACTCAACTTTGATAATAAAAGAAACTTTATTCTGCTACTCCGAACCTCGTCTCTGAATTTCTTTCAAGGAATTCTACAAACATTATCAATTCTAATGCTGATTATTCTACCTGTTTCCATGAGTTTGGCCTTCTTTATGGTTAATTTTATCCAAATTTTCCATGTTCTCTTTGACTTTTAATACTAGGACTTGCAGATCAGCTATTGGGGTACTATCATCAGCATAGCAGAAGTTATTGATGTTTCTTCCTCCAGTTTTTCCACATCTTCTTCCAATTCAGCTTCTCTAAATATATATTCAGATACTGTACAGCATAGGGTGAATAATAAGGAGAGATTATAGAGTCTGCTGCAGTTCTTTACCAATCTGGAGCCGGTTGTTTCCCAGAAGCAGCCTTCAGTTAGCTTTATAGATGCTTCTGACATGAATACAGACAGACAGATCATGTTCTGTCCGTCTTCCTAATCTATAGGTTTTTCATGAGAACAGTGAGAAGTTCTGATATTCCTGTTTTTCTGAGAACTTTCTGCAGTTTGACATGATCAATACAATTGAAGTATTTTTTATAATCAATGAAGTACATATTCGTTTATTTTTTGTATTCTTTGATTTTCTCAGTCTTTTCAATTTTTTTCAATTTCCTCAATCTTTTCCTCCTAAACCAAAATAATTCTTTCTTGTGTTCTTTTCTCAGTTGATAGATCAACAGTTTATCTGGAGTATGGGGAGGTAGGGTGTATTTATGTGTGCTTTTGAATCAGGTCTGACTCCATGCATTTTCTCTGCAACCTTTTTGGAAATGGTTTGCCATTGTGCCTTTGTCTGACAAAGAGTGACTGGCCTGAAGTCATCCAGCTGGATCCTAAGGCAGAGATAATAAAACTTACCATCTCCCAGTTTCTAGCTTGGTGTCTCTAACCACTTCATCCCACTGGCTTCATGTGGGCTATTGTAATTACTTTTCTCAAAATATTTCTGTTTTAATCTAATTTATCTTGTTATAAATCCATTAATTCATAATTTAGTTGATTATGAATCACTAATGTTTTGTTCTAAATCCATTAGATTCTGCTTGTGTCTTTATTCTAATTGTTTCAATTCATATATAGAAGTGATAAATTTTTACTTAGAAAAAAATAGCAAAATTGGATTTTTCTTTGCTCATGCAAATATTTAATAGCTTATGATGCATAAGAATGTATTATGTGAAAATGGGAAAATAGCTTTGTTTACCAACCCATTCAGCAGCATTTACATTTGAATTGGGAAATCTTTTATGGACAGAAGTCTTGTTTTGGACAGGGGTTCTATTTTGTATGGTAAGCAAGCTAAAAGGGCAAAGTAATGACATAATAGTAAAATGTTCACCCCAATTTAAGATTGGGAGGGATTTTTAATTACTATTTCAGAAATATTAACCATACTTCAAGTTGATTGCATCTCTTTCCTGTAGATTTCCAATTCACTTTTAAAGCCCTTCCTGGCATGGATCCAGGCTGTCTAAGGAGCTGTTTCACACCAATGGGATTTAGCAGCGAAAGGGTATGTTGTCAGACAAGGAATTTTGACTGGGAGAAGAGCCTTTTCTGCCATGTCTCCTGCCTTTTGGAATATTGTATCCCTTCTGAGGTGAGATCTACACTCAACCTCCTGACCTTCTGTACGGGCATGAAGACCTCTGCCAATTGGCCTATGGCCCCAGCAGGCGTGCATCACCTTGAGGGGGCTTTCGGATTAAGAGAAGATCCCACCTCTCCTCATGAGCTCATATACCCTTCCCCCAATCTTCCAATTGTAAATCATCATTATTATTGTTGTTTATTGTTTTATCATTTTAATATTTATCAGGTTTTAATATTTGTAAGCAGCCCAAGTCACCTTGGGATGAGGTGGGCAGCACACAATAAAATAAATAAAATTAAAATCAGTATGAAACCACAGTGCTCATTTCCCTTTTTTATGCTGAATATAATAGCTCTCTAGAATACACATCTGTAGTAAAAAATATGGATAATGCCTGGAATATTTAATTTTTTTGCATAGCGGAAACAGAATAAATTATTCACATTTTCACACATGTGCAATTGGTAAAATTCTTTATTGTTACAAAGGTTGATGTGTGTTTAACCAATTAACAGATTAACTCCTTTTTTCTCAGAGAATATTCTCTAGAATTCTCTGGCATATTCCAATATTCAATTTTCAAAAAGTATATTATTATTTTATAAAACTATTCTACATGTGCCTTTCATAACAATGTTGTTGTTAGTTGCGAAGTCGTGTCCGACCCATCGCGACCCCATGGACAATGTTCTTCCAGCTCTTCCTGTCCTCTACCATCTTCTTCATAACAATGCATAGGGCTAAAGAATATTCATAGTCTCTTTGACCTACTTAATTCTTAATGAAAATACATCAAACTGTATTATCAAATAAAATGCATTAATTGATTCATAAAATTGCTACATTTCACTAAAAAAAGCATTTATAAAATTTGGTTATAGTTGACTAAAAATTAAATTCTTAAATCCAAAATAAAATAATTAAATTAGTAATCATTTGAGAATATAGCAATAAATTATATTAAAGTATCATTTATCTGAGTGATAAATGAACCAAATTTCAGGTTTGATAAAAAAAAAGGAAGAAATACGAGTTACAGATATTGAAAACTTACACATAAATCAGTTTTACTATGTGTTGAACTAAATAATGAATGGAGGGGAATTAATTCCCCATTATTTAAGGAATAATGTGATTTAAGAAACAGGAAGAATTTGAAATGATGACTAACAACAAATGTCAATATCCAGACGAAATGTGCAATCGAAAAGGTCAAGAAATGCATGGCTCATTAGGCTCAAGTTAATGAAGTTATCTTTAAAATGTCAGCATTACATTATCTTGGACTCAAGGATTCCTAATCCTTTGACTGCCTAACAAATTTAGAATGTTGAAATTGTTATAGGGATAAGTACACTCTTGTGCAATGGCTACAAAATGTGGAGTATCTGAGCAGTATCACCAGTTACAAAACACTGATTCCCAACACTTCCTCTGGTTATACTCTCTTTTTTCTACAAAGATGGATATTCTTCATTTGCACTGCTTTCTTTAAAAAATAACATAGGTTGCCTTTCTTAATATAAAAGATGGAATACAAAAGCGATACATATCTAAGGAAGTTTCTACATGGATTCTGGCCTCTCTTCAAACTGATTGGTACTCAAAACATTCAAGAGAATTATTGCAAAAGTTTACGTCTAAGAGTTTAAAAAATACATCTTGTCCATAGCCCATTTATCACAGATAGTTTCTCTAGTTCAGAATACTTTTATTACTTTAGGATGATAAGCACCCAAAATCCTATTTAGACAAAAATACCTTGCTTTTATTTCCAATAGAGTAAATTCAGATGCAGATTAGTAATCTCCCTTTTGGATTACTCTGATGTTGTATAGTGTCCAGAATCAATCATTTTAATAGTTAGCTAACCATTCATTAAGTAAGTCTGGACAATCATTTATGTCAGTTCTTCACCATCTGTGTTAAGTTTCTAATCCATTTTCAGGCCTAACTAACAGCGCAGATCAAACCCTGCTTTGGTGTACTCTGAGTCTTTGGACATTCCTTTTTTTGTGATGAAGAAAAGTTATACATTACTTTTTTCTTTGTCCTCATAATTTTGCTTTCATCTTGTCTCCAACATACGCAAGATAACCGTAAGTCATCCTTAGCTGTACCAATATTCTGAAAATATACAAGAGCATTCTCAAGGTATATAACATCTATTAAGATTTTTCAGCCAATCTATTTGGCAACTAGACAAGCATACCAGAGACATCCAATTTCATCTTGGGATAATTTTTTTTCTAAGTATGTGGATGGCATGTTGACTCCGCAGTGAGGGAAAGCCCTTACGATAATGATTCTAGACTTCAACAAACCATAATCAGATGAAATTTGAAAAGGTGTACAAGAGCAGAGTTGCTGCACTCTACAAATTACTTTGTACATCTTCAAGGATCTTGTGCATGTGTGCATATGATGTTCCATAAAATCAAAGGTTTTCTGAGTTTTGTGATACTTTGATTGAAGATGTCATGATCTTTTCCATACTTGATGCAGCTTTGCTCCAGATTTGTAACATTTGAGAAAAATCTTTACTTTCCATTATTTCCAGCGTAATGGTTTTAAAATTATTTCCCATATAATCAATTAAGCCACTATCATTTTGTCTTCAGATTAATACTAATGAAGCAGTGTAATAAGATGCTAAATATTATAAGAAACTTAAAACAATCCTCAAGATTTTCTGGCTTTTATCTTTGGATAGGGAGGGCTTCCTTAAGTGCATGCGTTGTTCTTGATTGCAATGTTGTTTGTGCATTCAAATCCAACTTTTCTCTGCAGGAACAGAGATGTATCTCCTTTCTTTATTCCAACCCACAGCATCTCTATTAGAGAGCACTGTTTCGGCACAACTTCAAGATCACCTTTGGTTTTATAAGATTTCTGACATTTAAAATAAAGTAGATAGCCCTGCAGACATGTGAGACAGTCTTACGATGCAATATCATACATATTTATAGTAAGGTGTCACCAGACTATCTCCTTTGGAGAATAACTACAGCAAGGCGGAGTCACATTGTCACGTGACAATTCCTCAGTCGAACGCGCGAGCGCCGTCTTTTCGAAAGACTCCCGAAAACGGAGCGCTGGGCCTATGCCGCTGGCGTTAGGGGCTACATGCGCCATTGGCGCTGGCCTGCTGGGGGCGCTGGCTGCTTCCTCAGCCAAGCTGTCTTTGGGCGCTGATTACTTGCGGGCTGCTTGCCAAGCCGTCCTCGGGGAAGAAGAGACCACCGGGGAAACCTGTACCTGGGTAAGAGGCCGCCTCTGTTGCGGAAGAAGCGATTGGCGCCATGATTCTTTGCTATCGCTGGCCTGCGAACCCTTTAACCCGGCAGCAGTCTGGAAGGCCGAGTGGCCTAACGAGGAGGAGATGCAGGCACGCATCAGAGAAACTCGGGTGTCTAATAAATGTAGCATATTTTAAGAGATCCGAAGCAAGGTCGGTCAGCAGATTTTCCCCTCCCCTTAAATTATTTTGCAGGAGGAGAAATTAGAAGAACGCCTATTTCAAGATCACCCAATGAATGTCCCTGGCTGAGGGTTCAATTTGAAGTGGCTCTTGTTCATGTAAATCCTCATTCAAAAATAAAGGAGAATATTTGTAGCTCACGGTTGAAATGAGGGATGAGCTTGGTTGTTTTTTTGTTTTGCAGACATTTCATTGCCCAAATAAGTAACATTAGCAACGCTAATGATGATGCCCTGATGCAACATAAAGTACCAAGGACCCCGCATTTAAAAATCCTTTCACATTCAACGTGAATGATTTGAGATAAAATCTCAACTTAATTAGTTTGACTTAAAGATGGCACTAAGTAACATTCTTGCTTGCTGTAACTAGCAAATACACAATTACTGGCTTCAGAAGAATAAGCAGAATTAGCCATTGCAGGAAAAATAATATGCTTATAGTTTTGTTGTAAAACACCTTCAAAAATAATTATAATTAGAAAATAATTAGCAAAAATCTTGCTAAGAAAACTACAGGGACTAGCCAAGAGTCAGTTGATGATGTTGTAAGCAGGGATGAGTAATTAATGTTTACCAGGAATCTTTTGTGTCATATTATAGAATCCAGTCAGCTCCAAATTAATAATCTTGAAAATTAAAAAAAAATCCTCTTTATGAGTGTCCAGTTCTGAAGATAGTTTATTGAATAATATTTTTGTTTGTGATGGCTAGATTGAAATATTGTTGATTAATTTGGGAAGCAAAGGCTCTCCAAAGGTTGCGAATCAAATTGAATATACAGGTAGTCTTCAGCTTATGACTACAATTGAACCAAAAATTCTGTTACTAAGGGAGACAGTTAAGTGAATTTTGACCCATTTTATGATTTTTTTCCATAATTGTTAAGTGAATTATTGCAGTTATTAAGTTAGTAGCATGATTGTTAAATGAATCTAGCGTCCCCGTTGACTTTGCTTGTCAGAAGGTTACAAAAGGTGACACTGCAACTATCATAAATATGCCAAGCATCTGAATTTTGATCATCTCGATGCTGTAACAGTTGTGTGAAAAACAAACATAAATCACTTTTTCAGTTATAACTTAAAACAGTCATTAAATGAACTGTTAAAGTTGAGTACTACATACAGTGCATTCAGAAAGTATTCACACCCCCTTCACTTTTGTCAATTTTGTTATGTTACAGCCTGATTCTACAATTGTTGAAATTCATTTTTTTCTCATTAATCTACACTCAGTACCCCATAATGACAAAGGGAAAACAGAATTTTAAAATGTCTGTAAATTTATTAAAAAGAAATGTTTAATTTTCAGTAGCTTGGAGAACTCTTCATGAAGTGACTACAGTTTCTCTTACTGAAGTATACTGAATCAAAAGACAGTTGTTAGGATTATTGTGGGGGATCCTGGGTTCCATTTACACTCACCATATATCTATACCCAGTAGAGCCAAGTCTGTTACTGAGTGTCCATTCAGGTTCTATAATTGGGCATTTTTCATATCAATTTCTATAGTTCTCCGTTTTATGGCCACCAGCAGGAAAGCAGATTCTTCCTTCCAAATATGAGGTGTGCAAACTTTCTGTCTTGGGGAAAGATTCTTTTGCTAGGCGTTGACTGGGTGAGGATCAACAAATCATTGATTGAGGTTCAAAGTGGCTTCCCATGATCAGCAGGACACTGATTAGCTATAAAAATACTTTTAAAATGATCAGTGCTATAATTAATTTGAGCTGTTCACAAGTTTAGAATCTGGTAAGTCTCCTGTCCTGGACCTTAGCCCTGTTGCCAATCATACTGTGATAGGATTATTTGCATTCACCTGTATTCTAAGGCAGGACTTGAACTGTCCTTTACTTGAACTATAACGATGTTTAATACTTTCCCATTTTTTAATAATTACTCAGAATAAGTAAAGCTAGGTGGATATATGACAATATATATTTATATTACAGATGAGCTATTTCATCTGCAATACAAAAAGTTTATTATAGATAAATATTCTGGTCTATGGAGTTTAATCAATGTTTTTCCTCCTCCCTTTCACCCTTATCAATTGCCCTATTAAGGAACAAAAATGAAACCGAGAAAATGGGTCTCATGACCCATTTAGAATTTTTTTAAAAAAGGTAAAACACAGGTCAAAAGTAAAAAAGTCACACACGTTTAGGGGTATTTTTTCCTCACTGGCCCACATGGAATCAACAATGCTGAAATGTTTCTGTGTAAGGCAGACGATGGGATTATTGATAGAAGCTGAAATGCAAATTTGTTTTGGAGGCAACACAGAGATTAGACAATAGTACAGCAGATTAAACAATAATAGATGGGAAAGCAAAAAATGTGCCTTTTTCCTATGGCTAAGAGAAAATGACTTGCCCAAAGTCATCCAGCCTACTTTCATGGCTAAGGTAGGACTTGAACCCACATTCTTTTACTTTTTAGCTTGCTGCCTTAGACCAAAATCAGAGTTCCAATTTTTTTTCCAAGTCTTTTTCCATTAGGCCCAGAATAAGTTTCTGGTTTTATCTTTATATTCACTTTAAGAATTTTCTGTATTAGAATATAAATCCTACTCCAATATTTCTTTGCTTTATCACATGTCCACCGTAAGTGATAAAAAGTCCCTTCTTTACATTTACATTTCCAACATTCATCTGAGATACCTTTATACATTCTAGATAACTTACCTGGTGTGAAATACCAACGATATATCATCTTATAAAATTTTTCTTTTAAATCATAATTTAGTGTGAATTTTAAACCGTTCGTCCACATATTCTCCCATTGTTCAAGCATCACATTATACCCATTGAATCATATAATGTTTTACATGTTCACTTTCCAAATTCAATTTCAATAACATTTTGTAAACCTTAGCAATAAATGTTCATTACTACCACATAGTAAAGTTTCCAAATTATTTTTAACAAAATCAAACACTTAACTATCTTTATCTACTTTAAATCTTTCTTTCAATTGTAAATATGTAAACCAATGGCTGACATGACCTTCTGAGTCTAATTCTTCCTTAGACTTGAGGGTGAGGTCACCGAAATTAAAGATAGTCCAGTCCAGCCTCACCACCATTTCTTTTCTTTAAAAAGCTTGGGGGCGACACCCAACTTTGTAAAGAACCTTGTTTTGTATTTATTCCAAACTCTTAGTATGGCATGTCTAACAAAATGATTGTTGAAATCAACATTTACTTTAACTTTATCATACCATAAATAACCATGCTATTCAAACTTTAATTCATGACCTTCTAAATCAAGTAGCCTCTTGTTCTGGAGCCGTAGTGGCGAACCTATGGCATGCGTGCCACAGGTGGCACGCAGAATCCTCTCTGTGGGCACATGCGCCCTCGCCACTGTCCTAAGCTTTCAGCTGGGTTTTATAAAACCTTTTTGCTTTAGGCCTCCGCCACCGTGTGCAAAAAAAAAAGGTTCAATCAATCAATCAATTTCAACTCGCAGGGAAAAAAAAAGATCTCGCAAAGTTGGAATTGATTGATTGAACTTTTTAGTCCCACCCAGTCTGCCGTTACCACCACAGACATGCCCACCCAATGGGCCACGCCCACCCAATGGGCCACACCCACCCAATGGGCCACACCCATCCGGCACCCGATGATACATAAGTGGGTTTTGGGTTGCAGTTTGGGCACGCAGTCTCTAAAAGGTTCACCATCACTGTTCTGGAGGCTCATCCACTTTTTTAGCCAAATCAAACAACAAGCATCAAAATAAGATTTCAAATCAGGTAAACCCAAACACCCTCTTTCCATAGTATCTTGTAGTAACTTATATCTAATTCTTGGTTTCTTCCCTTGCCATATAAACTTGGAAATATCTCTCTACCATTGTTTAAATGGAATATCAGTTGCAAGTATTGGTAATGTCTGAAACAGAAAGCACATATTTGGTAAAACATTCATCTTAATTACAGAAATTCTACTTAGTAGTGATAAATGTAATTTGTCCCATCTTTGTAAATACTTTTTAATATCATTCTGGAGAGGCACATAATTCTTTTGAAACAGTTTTGTATTTGTGTTTGTCAACATAACCCCTAAAAAGTTCACCTTTTTCTTGACCTTAAAACCAGACTTTTTAATCAATATATCATAATCTTGAAAAGACATATTCTTAACATTGTTGTTTTCTGTTTGTTTATTTTAAAACCCACTAAAGCGCCAAACTCATTTAATTTCCTCATCAAATATTCTATCTTATTTTGGGGGTCTTGCAAGAATACTATATAACCAAATCATCAGCAAATGCCCTCAATTTATAAACTTCTTTCTTGATGTTGAGACTCTAGAAAGAGTACAGAGAATAGCAACAAAGATGATTAGGGACTGGAGACTAAAACATAAAACAATGGTTGCTGGAATTGGGTATGTCTAGTTTAATGCAAAGAAGGACTAGGGGTGACATGAAGAGGGAATCAAGCTATTCTCCAAAGCACCTGAAGGCAGGATGGAAACTTATCAAGGAGAGAAGCAACCTAGAAATAAGGATAAATTTTCTGAACAATTTTTTTCCAAGGTTCTATATTAAAAATTCAGTTCTGATGACAAATAATTGAATGAAACATCACTATATTTCAGGACAGGTTTGAGGGCTTTGTATGCATGTAGTAGCCCCTGAATGAATAACTTTATAACACTTTAACTCACTTCTATTACATAGGTTTCCGTATGTAATATGAAATTAGGAAACAGCATGCTAATAGGGAAAACAATATTGGCTAAATGCAGTTGGTATTTAATTAGATAATAGAATTTATAAATCAATTTGTTTAAAGAATAGTTCCCTATAAACAACTAAGAAGTCTTAAGTTGGGGAAAACCAGTTAATTAAGAAATGCTAAACTGGCTCTGGGGAAAAACAAATTGTTTTCTAATCCCCTGATAACAGATGATTTGAATCCTCCAAAGCTTTGTCAAGAAATTTCTAAAACAAAAGAGAAATAATTCTGTACATGCTCATTTATTTTTATAAAAATACAGTCTAATCGTGTGGTGCTATGTATTATAAAAAGAAATGTCAGATAATTACAAAAATGAACTATGAGTAATACAAACTCATTTTGGAAGGTCCAGCGGTTGTGTGAGAACACACTGCATTCTTGCACGTGCATTTTATGTGTGCTGTTGTCAGAAATATGAAAATACATGATTTTTCTTTGTAGTGTATTTAGTCAGATTAATTTGATTAATTTCTGTCCTCACCCTCTGATGCTTAATTGTTAATTCTTGTCTCTTGTCTCATGAATTTGAACACTTAATTTAGTTTTCCTCGACTTGTTTACATGACCTTAGTAAAATTGATATAGTCTGAAAGTGTATTTCTATTCCAATAGCTCTAGCATTAGTGCTATGCTTACAAAGATAATTATCAAAATATAGCAAGTGAGATATTATCTCCCATTTCAGTGAGGAATTTTGGCACAATTTTGCACAATTTAAAGTGATTGTTCCTTTTAACCTTCAGAACTAAATACAAGTAATCTTGACTTAGAATAATTCATTCAGTGATAATTCAAAGTTACAACAGCACTGAAAAAAGTGATTAATGACTGTTTCTCACACTTACAACTCTTACAGCATTCCCATGGTTAATGATCAAATTTCAGACCCTCGGCAACTGACTCATTTTTGACGTTTGCAGTGTTCTGGGATCATGTGAACACTTTTGCAACTTTCTGACAAGCAAAGACATGGGGAAGCCTGATTGACTTAACCACCATGTTACTAATTTTCTGTGATTCACATAACAACAAAGGCAAGAAAGGTTAAAGGATTACCTGTACAAGATGATGAATGAAGCATTGATATGCAATTTGCAAAGCAAATCTGAACCGTGACAATGCTTTTTGTAAGATTGCCCATTGCAACAACATCCTCTCTTTTAAAAAAATGTATTTAATAATGTAATATTCAGAGCTAAGCTCTAACTAGATTGCGTATCTGCTGTTTCCTGCTTTGAATTGAATGTTTGTAAGATATATAGAAAAGATCACAGTTTTTGTCCCCAATTGTTCTGCAGGTATCCATGATACTTCGAGTAGTTTGTGGTGGTCTAGTGTTTGTGTGCAATGCCATAATGTGGACTTTCTTTGCTAAAGCTTTAAGATATTCCTCCTCCTCAGCTACAGTAACTGTGACATCAACAGCATCCAACCTCATCTTTTCAGTGAGTATAGTGAGACCATATGATTGATGAAAGCCCCAAAAGGTGGAGCACTCCTCTGCTCCTTTTAAGGCAGAATATCATAATATGCTTGTATTGCTGTTACCACTTGTGAGTGTTCTGAATGGTCTGCAAGTAGTCCAAAGCCAAACAGTTTCTCCAGACTTGGAAAATCCATTTTGGTATCAGAACTTTCTGGAACTGGAACATTTAACACCCTAACTCGGTTCTCTAAACAAAAACAGGGAGGTTTTAGCAAGCATGTGTGAGTTGGTAATATTGGGTGATTTCTTCTGTTAGTCCCTAGCTACTTTCTGAACAGTATATTTAAATCCTAAATTATTGTATAGCCTTTGAATGTTGTACAAAAAGAATCTTTTGTAATATGTTCAAAATACTGTTGCTTCTGCATATGTCTTAAAAATAATCTATGCATTTTCAGTTTATGGCAGCTAAGGAATTTACGCATTGAGCAGAGTACAATTTTACTATTGCTTATTCTTCACCTTGTCTTACAGGCCTTTTTAGGAAGATTGTTGTTTGGAGAAATAGATGACCTGTTATGGTGGATTGGAATATTCATTTCCCTTCTTGGACTTCTGTTACTTCACACCTCACCATCTCTACTAGAACAACAAATCTGTCTAAAGGAGAAAAAGAAATAGAATGCAACAGGCTTTTAATTCATAACACAGAAAAGAAATAAACAAATAAAATAGGACTCCAGGTTTGGTGGAAGTACAGAATTGCCATGATGTACTTATAGCAGATATTGTTGTGCTAGATACTCAAAATACTTTAGTCACAGTGACCATAAACAGAATTTTGGAAAAAAGGACAGTCATCATATTTGTGACACTTGAGGAAATTTGGTGAATAATTATCATAGTTTACCATGATCAACTGGAATAAAGGATCTTTCACAATTCTTAAGAAAGATATGGTATTAAGTGCAATAGGTTTTCCCCTTTTCTGCATTAAGCTGACTAATCACAAGAGAGAGTAAGAAGTAAATCCAAATTGACTTCTTTTCACATTACAAAATATATCTACTGTATGTTGTATGCTGATGGAGTTGGCAGTATTGTATCCATGATAATGAGATTACCAAAATAAATATCAAATACACATTTTTAAATAATTTACATCAACAAAAATATAAAAGTGATGACATCAATATGATTATACATGCTTTGTGAATGCCACCAGTTTAATATAATCAACCAACTATAGATTAATGCAACATAGAGTATTTAACAGAAAAATTCCTATCAGAAAAATGAGCTGCTTTTATTGAAAGTCAAAGCTACATACTCAATTAGAACAATATGCAAAGTCAACTGTAAGAATTTAAAATTTGTTCCCATTTTATAATGTAAAGATACTCACACTTTAAAAAAGATCAGTTCAGAAGATGAATTTCAACATAAAAATAAATGTTGTTTCCTTTGAAATCTTAATTTAACTATTCTTGATCTTTTTAATATCAAAACAAGTGTTTGTGAGTTTTTGTGTTAGTCCCATGACTAATAATACCACTCAGGTTCTTTGCTGTTGGATATTTCTCCCTCCCTCCATCAGGATTTGATTTTGGTGTGTTTTATTGTTAATTTTTGCAAACTGAACTTTCTTTTTCTAGAACAGGTTCAAATATGGGCAAGAGAAGTCTGCCTCTTGGCAAACTTCTTTATGGGGTTCCCCCGAATTCTGCTTTCTCCATTCTGCATGAAGCTGCTAGATTGGGTTATCTATAGGTATGAGGTTAAATATATTCCAGTTGTATATTTCTATTTCTGGCTGTTGCACTCAACTCCCATAATCCTTTATGGCCCAACCAGTCTAGAAGTTATTACCATAAATGCCGGCGTACAAGGCGATCCGGCGTATAAGACGACCCCCGTCTTTATAGCCGGGCCACATTCCTAGAACGTCGTCTTATACGCCAGAAACTACCAGTATTTCCGGCGTATAAGACGACCCCCGTCTTTGGCGCCGATTTCAGCACTCGCGGAAGTCGCCTTATATGCCGGCATTTACAGTAGTCATAGGAAACGTGTATTTACATTCAACCTGTAAATAGACTACTGTTGGAATTGAAAACACTTATAATCTTAGTTCCATGGCTTTAAATTTTTGAGAATTTTCTAATTTATTACATCCTAAGAAACATCTACAAGTTTTAAAACAGTGAGTTTTATGCTGTGCGCCTGGTAGTTACAGTCAGGACAATGTTTTTTAATGGTTTAAATTAATATAATTGGATTACTTAATAATTTCAATGTCATGAAATATGTATATTTGATGGGTTGTGGGAAATATGCCAAAGCTCTGGAGAGATACAGATCACCTTTTTCTGCCTTACCCTGCTGCCTTTTAAAAAATCTTTACTCAGAATAACCTCTGAGGTGAAACTCAAGATTCTGTATATAAAAACAAGTAAATTTGACATATCAAATATGTACTTCAACGATGTTTATTTGGAGGGTGTGTTTCTTTTTCTTCCTATTGATAGTATTGCTTATCCAGGGTGGGAAGTTGTGTAAAGTTAGAAAAGTCTCAACATTTATCTAAAATAAATACAAACTTCTGTATCTATTCTAGCAGTTCCCACACATGCACAATGTTTTTTTCCCCTGTTCAATCATATCCTGTTCAATCATTTTCCCCTATTCTCAGAGGTTACCGGAACAAGTCCCTGAAATTTTCTTGGCAAGTATTTTCTAAATGGTTTGCTATTGTCTCTACTAAGGCTGTAAGAATGTGACTAAACCAAGGTCACCCAGCTGGCTTTATACCTAGGGCAAGATTAAAACTGGTGTAGTAATTAAGGCATCATGGTCTCCAGCCTGATGCCTTAACTACTACACAAAAGTTGTTATACATATATAGTGAGAAATATGAGGGCAATTTGGTTATCAATGACAGACACTTGCAGATACAGAACTTTTATTATACACATTAGAAAACTACATTACTTTTTGACATAATCGGCATTCAAATTGAGGTACTTGTCTTAATGTCTTACAAGGTTTAAAATTTCTTAATAGTAGCTCAGTGCCAAATCTGGGCTATGGGAGGGGGTGTCATTAAAAACATCCCAACGGAACTGCTTCAAAAGTTCTTGGGTGCATCTAGAGGTGTGCGGGCAAGCATTATTGTGAACCAATACCACACCAGAAGTGCCACAGAAAATCCCGCCAAATGTGAAAGTGCCAAAGGAGTACTGCTAGTGAAGTTCATGGAGGGTTGTGGTTCAACCATTCATAGAAGTCTACTGTGAAATGTTACAAAAACTCAGATGAGCCATCCATAACAAGCATCAATATATGCTGACTTCCAGTGTGATGTTGGTTCACAATAATGCCCACACACCACTAGACGCACCCAAGAACTTTTGAAGCAGTTCTGTTGGGATGTTTTTGATGACCCCCCCCCATAGCCCAGATTTTGCACCAAGCAGCTATTATTAAGGAATTTCAAATCTTGTAAGATGTTATGACAAGTGCCTCAATTTGAATGCCGATTATGTCGAAAAGTAATGTAATGTTGTAGTTTTCTAATGTGTGTAATAAAAGTTCCTAATCTTCGAGTGTCTGTAACTGATAACCAAATGGAGGTTTATTTCTGAATTGCCCTCATATATAAGACTTATACATAGAAGTAAGAAGCAAAAAGGAAAAGAGATTAAAGCTTCATCATAAGAATAAAAGAAATAGAACTAATTAATTTACCCGAAAGCAACTCACTATGCTTCTCCATACCTTGTTATCTTTATAAACTATTTTTCTTCAGCCCCATTCAAGCATTGCTTCATATATTTCTTTTTATGCTTGTAACATCTCACTATTCAACTTATTCACAAATTTCTCATTCTTCCCCTTCCTCTTGACCCACTCACTCTTCATGAGTATACATGTTTGTGATTCCATCTCTATTGGTTTTGCCTCCTACTGGTCATTCACTTTTGTTTTTGAGATTGTTTTCTTAAAGTGCCCTTTATTTTTTACCCCATTACCAAACATATTTCTTCAATACTCAAAACACCAAGCAGGAAGAGGAGCCATGAATAGAATATACTGTATATAATCTTCCTCAACCTCTTTCCTCAATGCTGTGCTCTAAAAAGAAAAGACTGAATATTGATGTGGAATTATATTAAAATTTAAATCTTAGAATTTATATATTGGTATCAGAATTGCCTGGACTGGATAACACATTAATCCTTTCTTCCCTGATTTGGCCTCCAAACACTTGTGAATTTCATGGTCAAACAGGTAGAGAACATACTTATGGTTTGCAAATCATAATGGCACATCATCCCACACCAAAAATCAAACAAGATAATATTTATGTTAAGGATGAAAAGTTTTTTCTTTCATTAACAAATAAATATGACTTCCCTTCTGAAAATTATTGACACTTGACAAATATACTTAATATGAAATAAGAATTTAGGCCATTGAGTTTAACCTCCTGTTAAATACAAGAAGTATCCATGACAGAAGGCTATCTAGCTTCTGCTTGAACACATTTATCTATCTCTTAAATTTATATATTCACTCATCTCATACAAAATGACTGGACACTTATAATTGCAATGACTTACCACTGTAATTCTGGATTCAAATACAATTATAAGTCAAGGACTATCTGTATTGCCTGAGAGAAAAATGTGAATGCTTTAAATTGGGTGCCAAACTTGCAACGTCATGTGATGTGTGTTGCAACGTATTGCAACAATGGGGTGGGCATGGTTTTGCTATGATGCATCCGGCCCGCAGGCTGGCAGTTTGACACCCCTGCTTTAAAAAGTTGCAGAAAGATGCTATATATGTTGCCTGCAAAATGATACATGCCTTTCCAAAATCTGAAATGTGTATGGTTCTGTTATTAAACCTTTGACCTGTTGGAGAAATTATGTTTCTATAAGGAACAAATGATTTCTGACAATCTTTTGTTAGGAATTAACATATTCCATGCTACATCTTTTTCATGTAATAGCTTCCTTTTATGAATGAAAGCTGACTTTCTTTTATTTCAGAAAAGCCATTTATGTAAATGATCTTTGTGTAAACTCCTTAATATGTTTAATGTATTCTGTAAACTTTTAAAGTCAATCTTAGGTTTCAGTTCCCTCATTATATCCCCACCCATCAGCAATGTACACTGACACCAAACCTGATAAAAGGACAAATGTTCCTTTGGCCCATTCAAAAACAGATAACACGAAACCTGTTACAATTCCTGCTGCCTCTTGCAAAACTTGCAGGAGCAAAGCTGAAAAAATACAATGAGTAAGACAACTGGTAAGTACAAGAGAAGATGTTAAAATCAATTCAAATTTCTTTCCTTTTTCTTGCTGTTATTTGATAACTCTATTAATAAAACTTGGAGCAGCATGTTGGATGATGTTAGGAATTTCACAAGTACTCAGTCTTTTGAGATTTTAAAATCTGAAATCCAACTTTTAAAATGACAGATGGAACTACAGGAACTTCAAGTAAGAATGAAATTGATTTAATATGTCTGTTCAACGTGCATTGTAGTTTATTTTACAATTGTTCTATAGGAGGTTTTTTTTTCCTATCAGGATCAATAGTTTAGTGTTCGGTTGTCAGGTTGAACTGAAATTTTTGTGCCACACATACTGATGTAGCTGCTAAAATAAACAATAATCTGGTTAAAAATGCTAATTTTTCAATCCCACAAAATTCAGTAGAATTTTTCTTTAAAAATAATCATTTGTCTGAGTGATAACATGCACCAAATATTGTTGTTAATCATTTGTGAAGGACATTACCTCTGTAAAGCAACTCACAGCTCTTTGTTCAGCAGGTATATAGTCAACTATTAAAAACTAGGGCTTCTGCAGGTTTAAGGGATTTTAAATAGTCATTTTCAGCAACTGCCATTTATTCACATTTTGGTGGAAATTGAATTAGCAATTTGATCTATTGTTACAATGGTTTAAAATTATTTATGCAGGCATTTCATCTATATCAGAATTTATTTAATTTTGTTTTTATTTTATTATTTTATTTGTACCCTGAATGGTTTTAAAATTTCATGCATCGCACTAAATTTTATTCACATGGACCTAACTTCTAATCTGTGATAAAGTTTGTAGGTACACTGTTCCATTTAAGCTCAGTTGCCTTGTTTGGAAGTCTAAGGCGCCTTGCAATATTTCATATTATAAAATTCATTTGTATATATACATAGGCTAAGTTTAAGATGGAAATTCATTTCAACAGCTGATTCACCATTAAAAGTTTAAGGACACCCATAGCTAAATAAGGACTTCCTGCAGAGAAGACTTAATTTTTTGCTTCACCTTTGGAACCAATTCTGCTACAAACAAAACTCCCTTTGTGCAGTGAAAAAGAAATAGTAGTCATATTTGCCTATTATTTATCCCACTTTGAGCCATCCTAGCCCCTTACTTTTAGAATGAACCACTGTTACTGCTTATCAACTGACTGGTGAAATAACTAATGGTATTGCATTCTATTTGCAAAAGTCCTAGAGTAAACAATGAAAACTAAATTTATGATTTTAGGGTTTAGATGTCCCTGAAACAATAGGGATGACATTGTGGTGGAGATCAGTGGCCAGGCAATGAATTCTGATCAGCAAAATATCTCTAGAAAAAGGAGAGATTGTGAAATTGCCCACTTATACTCTGGACACCTGCTTCTCATGAATGGACTGCAGATACTGATTTTTTCTGTGGGCAGCTTGTGAATCAAGAAGCTGGAAGTCAAGGGATTTCAACCAAACTTACACTTATAATGCAGCCTAAATGGACTAAGGGTCCAAATGAATGTGAAATTAGATTTTGAAATGAATATGAGCCGAGGTGGCGCAGCAGTTAGAGTGCAGTACTGCAGGCCACTTTAGCTGACTGTGTTCAGCAGGTCAGCGGTTCAAATCTCACCGGCTCAAGGTTGACTCAGCCTTCCATCCTTCCGAGGTAGGTAAAATGAGGACCCAGATTGTTGGGGGCAATGTAAATATATATACATTGCTTACTGATGTACACCGCTTAGAGAGTGCTCGCACTTAAAGCGGTATATAAGTCTCATAAATAAATAAAATTATAAGACTCCTCTCCCCAATATTAAAATGCTGCTGTTGTGAAATCTTATAAAAAACATGATTGGGTGGAACTTTGAAGGTTGGAACCTAAAGGAAGCTAGAAGGAACGAAAGATTACAATTTGAGAACACTTAAATTTATCTTACGAAGCCAGAACGGAATAAAACACTTCAACATTGGACATATTGAAGGATATTTGGGGGACAAAGAAAAAAATGAAAATGTATCAAGTTTCATCATTATCTGAAGGGATTGAAGATCAAGATTGTTAAAAAGAAGGCATTTTGTGGATGTTTTTACTGTTTTATTTATTTTTTCATTGTTTTATAATTTTAGAATTGTAAGTTGTCCTGAGTCATTTAGTTGGATTGGGCAGCTGTAGAAATTGAATTAATTAATTAATTAAGTTGGTTTATTTAATCAATATTAAAGGAGATTGGTAGCTTTGGTAAGCTTAATGAAGCTTTTCTTGACTAGGATTGAACAATGAGGCTTCAAAGATTTATTTATAGATAAGAAATGAAATATGGAAGATCAGTTGCTACATTTTAAAAGAAAATTATAAATTACTAAAATTGTTTATACATGATGAAGGGGAAAGTCGTTTTCTTATATATTTTTCTTTACTTTTTTCCTTTTCTGCAGTTTTTATTCTTTTATATATATTTTAGTTTGCGTTGGGTTTTTTCTTCTTAATTGTAGTGTTTAATAAAATCATTATAAAAATAGATTTCGGAAGTAGCTGTATTGATGTTTTGCAGCCAACACAACAACCATCTTTCCCTACTAGAGAATATACCCTGGCAATATCATTTTTCATCATGTTCCCATGATATGACCTTCATCTCATAATCAGCCCATGTGTGAAATAGACTTAAGTCATTCATTGCTAGATTGGTGCCAAATAATATTTTCTCCTTTATTTCTGATGCGTCTCAAGATCAGTCTCATGGTTATAAACTCTATTAGGCTATGTTACCCAATATCCTGAAGTGACTGCAAGGTCTGGGGAAAAAAGCAATAGAGATAGGAGTAGAATTTGCATTAGGGTCAACAAATTTCATGCCCGAATAGTTTTGTGTCAATTCAAGGATAGCACATTAACTCAGCAATGACAAAAGGCTCAAAGAGACTTGTGGTTTTCTTTAAGATAACAAATATATTATTTCATAAGCGTTTGAGGATCATACTTGATGCATGACGTGCATACACATAACAAATATAGTTGAACCATACCAAAAGAGTCATGTTCTTGTTTATATATGTAATAATGATTTAATGGATCAGTGTAAACCCATAACAGAGATATTTTGCTAAAATTATTTGCTATACAATAATAGATGAATGCCATAATTAGAAAAGGGAGATATCATACACCAGTAAGACTAATAATAACAGATAGGGAGATAAACCGAATGAATCTGGTTTATTCTGATTCAGGAATTCCTGAAGGAAATTTCCTAAAACATTAAAATTTGCAGAACTAGTTGGGAAATAGCACTTTATTCAATGGCACTTAAACCTTAAAACTAAATCTTGGGATTTAAAGATTTACAAGCTTGTGAAAGAATGTTTAAGCATATCTAAATGCAGATAGTTTAAGTCTTAGTGACAAATAACTTTGAATATAGTTTCACAATGCTCAAGAGAGATAGGCTCTGTGACATTGCTCTTATGAAATCTAAGGACCTTTCACCCTCATGGTGTGATAGATGGTTTGGGGAACCACTGCCATTGCTACTCTTTGCATACTTTATACTACTCTCATTCTTGGCCAGTAAGCCAACATAGACCAGTAAGTTCCACATATTGCATGGTCTAAGTGTCTGCAGTTGCCAGGTCAAACCTGCCATCAATGAAAGAAGCAGAATCATTATGAAGATTCACCTCCTGTCATGAGGACCCAGATTGTTGGGGGCAATGTAAAATATACATACATTGCTTACTGGTGTACACCGCTTAGAGAGTGCTTGCACTTAAAGCGGTATATAAGTCTCATAAATAAATAAATAAATAAATAAATTCCTGGCTTAAATGTGAATCCCTGTTTGGGTTGACAATACATACAGTCATAAATCAGTTGATTGCATTTTAGCTGGGAAACTGTGCAAATATAGATAATAGTTAAATTATGGTTCAGGATGTCAAGTATTCCAAAATTAAAGACCAAATTATTTGCATGGATAATTAAGCATCGTGAGATTACAGCCTCTGGATTGAAGAAAGAAATGATAAGAAGGACTTAAAACTGCTTTATTTCCCACTGTCCTTTACCAGTTCTCAAAAGCCATCCCACCAAAAGGGAAGCAATTGACACATGCATGGGTGGGAGAGGAAAAAAAGCAAGGGAGTCTGTAAGTCAGAGACCATGTTAATTGTAGCCTGGCAGAACACTTGCCCATCACTGGACTAACCTGGAGGAAGAGATTAAAATCTGGAAGTCTATGGAGATTGTCAGTCATCCAGTTCATGGTTGTTACAAAGGTGCTTTTTCAAGAGGCAACTGGTCTTTCTTTGTTTTTCCTTGAAGACAATTCACTTTTCATCCAAGAACCTTCTTCTTCAGTTCTGACTAAATGGGGAATGGAAGGATTTCTATTCTTTGAATCATCTGGCCATTAGCACTCTTTCTGAGAGTCATTGAAGCCATTTAGAGGTTTATCTGTGCCCTTACAGATCACCTGAATAGTGCAAATGGGTGTGGAACCTTCTTGGAACTGTTGTTGTAAATAGGTAGTGTTGTATCCTTCCCCCTCTGTTGAGAAATGGCTGTTCAATTTTAATGTGGATGGCCTCTTTGACCCCTCTTTCAAACCAGCAGTCCTCATCCAGAATGTGGACCTTGCTGTCTTCAAAAGAGTAGACTTTGTCTTTCAAATGCAGATGGACTGCTGAATGTTGTCCTGATAGGTTTGTTCTCTTATGTTGTTTGTGAAGTGGTTGTTTTGTTTCTCCAATGTACAGATGCATTATACTGCATATATCACATTGCCCAGTTTGTGTCTGGGTGTTTATCCTTGGAATGGACAAGCTTTTGCCTCAATGTATGTTTGGGTTTAAAGTGTGTACATATGTATGGGTTTAAAATGTATGTATGTTCAGGAATATCTGAAAAACTCCTTTTGCTTTGTTTATTGTTCTATTCTTTGTCTGTTGTGGAGGAGCTCCTGCTGGGTCTTCTGGGCCAGCTACATTAAAATTGAACAGT